AACTCAAGCTCACCATGATTACAAATGGTGAAATGCAATGTCAAATTACTGAAAAAATACCAGCTCACTAAATCACAACCGCTCAAACCAACTACAAACTACTACCGCGGATTGGGCAGAGGAGGAGTCCGAGAAAGTTGCTCCCCATGTGACGTAATATGACGCGTTTAACGTATGACGTTAAAACAATTCCTGCCCTTATGTCTTGTAAAACATCAAATCCTGCATTAACTTTTTTAATTGTAATTTTCAGGCAAGGTTAAGCATAAATGTAGTAAAAAAAAAAACCTGCAAGTTGCTCTTTAAGTTCTAACCTCAGTGTAAGCATGGCCACCCGAAGTGTCCTTAGACAAGGCACTCTGTCCCCATCAGATCCAAGGGTATAGAGAAATTTGGATTTAGTTGCTCAAAATGAATCTGGAAGTGGTCAGGGGCACATTAGTCCACATGCGCAGTATAGTGTTACTGCAAATGTATTACAAATCCCCGACACCAGGTCCATTAGCTCCAGTTTCTGTTTCTATTCTGATGATAGGGAAAAGCGTCTTTGAGCATTAGGAAAAGCGCTATAAAAATCCCATGTATTATTATTATTATTATTATTATTATTATTATTATTATTATTATTAGTCATGCTGGATAACATAGAAAATGTTTTGATGGTCACATCTTATCTATATGGCAGCAATAACAATGTTCAACATCTTAAAGCAAATGAAATGAAATGTGAACAGGAAAGAGGGGTCTGATCACAACTGGGCATTCAATCTGCATATGAGCGTCATTACAGTGCAAGGTGTGATTCGCCAGCTTTACTGGATCTAGTTCAACACAATGTGGACACCAGATACTTGTTTCGCTCCCACAGAAACATGAGCTGCGTGAGATTTCCCTTATGGAGTTTTGTAACAGTAAAATAAATGCTTTTTTAAAGAATAGGCAACATATTTGTTCCCTTGCCTACCTATTTCAACATCCTGCAGACTTGAATTCATTCGATTTCAAGAGTGAAATTGAATTCTACTATTTACAAAGACAGCTTGACAGAGATCTGATTGAAATTGGACTCAACAGAACTCCTGACTGTGTCCTTGTCATTATTCTCCGTCTGTAGGCTATAAAAGTTTTGTCTGCTCTCTGTAGGCACAGCAGGAGACTCAGAAGGCAGCTTTGAGCTACGAGAGAGCGGTCTCTATGCACACAGCTGCCAGGGAGATGGTCTATGTGGCAGAGCAGGGCTTGATGGCTGATGGCAAGAACACTCTGGATCCCACCTGGCAGGAGATGCTGAACCACGCTACCTCCAAGGTAACAAACCGGAGGACGTACACATGCTTTAACACAATCACACCAGACCTCAGTTGAGTGTATGTTTGGTGCAGGATGGTTGTGGTGTCTCAAATGAGATGCTACATGTTTTTAAAGCGAGATGAAACATTCACCAGGAATACCATGGAGGAAAAAAAAGTCTAAATAATGATGGATTGTGAACAAATAGGCTTAATCAGAGCGAGACAATACCTTGTTGTTTATTTGTGTTTTTTAAGTCTGACTTGAAGAGGAATAGTGTTGTTAAGAGAATACCCATCAATTAGCATTGAATTCCTTTAAAACCGTCAGGGTGGATAGTTACATGAGGATCAAACTTCAGTTGAGACAATGTTAAACATGTGAACTTTTGAAAGAACATACATAACATTCATCTGTTTCTCATATATCAATATTCCAATTACTGTATAGACTATTCTGCACAGTTTCTATCATATTCTGTTTCTATTATATTTTATTTACCTGCACAATTGTATCTGTTTTATTGTGTTGCACTGTTGGAGGGGCTTGGGACCTAAGATTGTCATTGTCATAACTACACTAGCTATGCACACATGACGATAAAAGCCTTGAATTCAAGTTTGAAAGGGCTCTGGCCTTGGCGTGTTAACATCTTTCTCCTGCGTGTCTCTCCCAGGTGAACGAAGCGGAGGAGGAGCGACTCCGCAGTGAGAGGGAACACATGCGCGTCACACACGCCTGTCAGGAGGCCGAGGCTCGGGTTCAGATGCTGCAAAAGTCCCTCAAAAGAGTCATTGTCAAATCCAAACCTTACTTTGAGCTCAAGGCCCAGTTCAACCACATTCTGGAGGTAATGCAGACATACAATATGTTCTGTCAATAATCATTAGTCTATTGTTAAGCTGCTGCGTTGGCAGAAAAAGAATTGTTTTACATTCTGTACGTTATGGATTTGGTAGAGGTCACTGGTAGGTTGTGGCATAAAATCAATGTTGAAATTGATGATGAAAGTGTCTGTGCCCTCTGTGTGACTCCAGGAGAATAAGGCCAAAGTGCTGCAGCTTGAACAGCACGTAGCTAAAGTGAAGTCCCGCTACTCCATCGCCCTGCAAAACTTGGAGAAAATCAGCGAGCAGATCCACGCTCAGAGGGGGCGGGACCAGGCAGGGGGACGACGCACCACTGTCTGCGCTGGGCGTAGCCCCCCCGTTGGAGCCGAGTCCGACATCAGAGTGAAGGTAGAAGGTGGCGCCTGCAGCAGTGCCGCGACGGGGGCCGGTCGGGTGGATGCAGCCATCGACCTGGAGAAATACAAGGAGAAGGAGATTGAGAAGGAGAGGGAACGGGCGGGGTCGGATTCACTTTCAGTCTTCAGCCTGCAGACCATCGCTTCCGACTTGGAGAAATATGACTCCATTGAGCACCTCGGGGACCTCAGTGATGTCGGGAGCGTAACTGGGGATGAGGGGGAGAAAGAGAGAGGCGGAGTGATGGATAGAAGAGACAAGATGGTGGAGAGCGCCGCTAAAGAGCGCCAGCAGCAGTTCTACAAGCAGCACCACCGAAGCTTCAGTTTGTGAGGCTGCCATAGATATGAAATGTAGGGTAAACATCCCTAACACATAGGTACCAACCAAAGTCCAAAGACAGTAACTCAGCTGCAAATGTAACACTGGAGTGATGCAGTTCTAGGGGTATAACATGATGCGTGTAAATTAGCACACATTAAATGACTGACAACACTTAATTCTAAAGCTGACACTGATCAATAGTTAATATTGCAGCCTAGTTAGAACACTAACAGAATCTAAAGAGCTTTCAACCCTCCAGGACATGTATACAGTTTATTCATCCCTCTGAAGGATTCTGGGTAGAATGTTTCCTTGTGCATGAAGGAACAGCAAAAAGTGATCGAAAGCCTGGGTTTAGCTGACTTGTTTCAAAAACCCTCGTTTCTTATTTCCCAGGCTAATCTTCGTTTGGTGAGACGAGTGTAAACAAAACCCTGCGTTGGTTCTCCTTCCAGTCCTGTCAGGTCTTATCAGCCATTGCTTCAAGGTAGAGTGTTTGCAGGGTCTCTCCACACACTGAGACCCAGACTCGTGTTCACCCTCATCAAGTCAGTGTGCAAGGAAAAATGACAAAAACGATTCTGTTTGAATTTCACATATTTATTTCCAGTAACACGCTGCAAGAATTGCTTTGTTATTATTGGCACGAGAGAATGCGTTTTTTGAAAATTCCTGAAATGATTAATGAATGGAGTCTTGACAGTTTTCCACTCCGACAGCATGCACTGCTAGTGAGCTATACACAGGCATTTATGAAATGTATTTAGGGATATATGCTGAAACTAAAACTGACACCATTGAAACTAAGATGATGAAGCTGCAGCCATGTTTTCTTTTTTGATGTCGTTATGCTGTAGTCTTTTGGGGCGAGAGCCTTTTCCAAACATGTATTGTTTACATTTTAATAAGTGGATTTCATTTGCAGCAAATGCATTTCCTCTTTTCTTTGCCTTTAAAGAAAATGTTTCCCCTTGTCATTTGAAGTGTGCCTTGACACAAAAAAAGTAACACATTTAGCATGAGTAGCACTTTGTTGTAATCTCATCTGCCCAGAAATATTTATAGTTTGCCCTTTTTATGATTTTTAGAACATTTTAACAATCCAGGTCTACCTAGTGCCGTTTCCAAGACTTGGAGAGGTATGATTTACGTTTTGATTTCTTTATTTTCTTTCACGATATTGTACTTTGATTGTCAAAGTGTACGATGCAAAACGATGAAGTCAAGGAATGACTTGTATATGTATGTAATTATTACAAAGCTGGAAAATATTGACATGTACAGTTACATGTGCTAAATGATTTGAATGTTTGACAAGTTTGTTGTACATATGTTCGGGATACTCACAGTTTGTCATGTGTATTTAAATCATTATCGTCGCAGTTTATCTCAAACACCTCACCTTCACTCCTGTCTTAACAATTAGTCTTCATCCTTTTAATGGCATTTGTGAATTAGTCAGAATGTCACTTTCCAATTAGTGCATTGTCCTATCTATAATCAATAAATCAGATCATACTTATTGTGGCTTTTGTATTCCTGTATTTTCATATTATTGAATTTCTTGTAGGAACTTTAGTAGAATTGTCTGTCAGGCAGGTTAGGATGTGAATTCCTGTTTTACAGATGCAGGAAGAAGGATGGTGAGAGACAGAGGGAGAGGTTGTGTCTTCCCCAACCTCCCTTCAATTATTCATCAGCAACAATAATATGAAGCAGGATTTCAGAATAGATGGCAGCAGAGGATGCTGGGAGAGACAAAAGGGGAAGATGAAGCAGGTGATGGGCTTTGATTTAATCGATGACCAGTGTTGTAGAAAGGACTGATTGTCGCTTCGTTGACTTAACTCCTAAGGGCTTTAGAGAGAGGCTTAACAATGTAGTCACTGATAACACCACCGCGTCATATATGCACCTCCATCCGTGTCTAGTCATGCAGTGATATAATTATTAACGGTGGGATAAATCCACAAGCTTATCGTAAATCCAAAGCCTGATCGTAAGATTCATGTAATATATTACAGTCGTGGGCCCAGATCCTAGCGCTTGTCATCTTGGGAAGGAGGGAGGGGGGACTATCTGATAAAAGCGTGAGAGGGGCTGTTACGCACGGTGCGTCTCCATCATGACGTCGTGAGTTAGCTCAAGATTGTAAGGGGAGAGAGAGAGAAAAGGAGGGGAGTGTGGTGAATCGGTGTTTCGTCGTTTATGGGGCTGCGTTTGTATATAGTGCATGTATAATTGTTGTATGGATTTTTGTCCTTTCTTACCTTTGCCATGCGTAACTGCAATACATAGAAATAACCCGAATAAGATACGTCTTGTTTTTGTAACATTCTGTTTACGAGCGGAGCAGCTTGCACATTGATAGCCATACTATTATAGCCATAACATCGTTGTAAAGATGCATATTTTTACCAAATAATCCGACGTTGGGCATTTCCTGGTGGATCCACCTCGAAGGACGTAGCCGACTGTTATATTGACGGAGCGCATCGGAACTAATAGTAAGTACACATGCTACAGCTTTGCTTTACGGGGCTACGGGCTACTATTACTGTAAGTCGCAATAATAGACTCCATTTATTCAGAAAATGCTCCATTTCACATGCAGATAATCTATATAGATGCCCCATTGGTTGTTAATGTTGTATGCAAAGGCCATTCATTTTCGATGGGCACAGGCCAGATTTGTTTTGAGTTCCTTCTTGCAAGATCCTCTCTGCATTAATGCTATATAAAGAGACGATAACATGGTGAGATTCTGCACCCTTTCAAACGGCATACAGTCGGTATAATGAGGTGATATGTGATTCGGGACGCTACTTTTGAGATTTAAGCATTGTGCGGGCTTGTTAATATGGTCGGCCTTGCTCTACAGGCCATCACGGATTCCCTTGTCAACAGCCGACAAGTAACTACCGGCAGCATACGGTTGGTGGCACTCTTACTGTGACCCTCACGTCTCAGTAGTTCATGCTCAGCCATGCACAAAATACAGCATGTGAGTCTACTGTATGTGCGTGGTCCCCGTGTGGCCCTGCATATACATTGAAAATATCAACTAGCCTACAAGCGTCTGTACATGAAGCTGTCAGTGGTCCGGATCATCCCTTTCCATTGCAGCTTCCGGAATTAAAGACACACAAGCTAGTAGGCAGTGTGCAACATTAGCGGTGGATGGGCTGTGGGTGTTTTTTGTAACGAGATGTTGTTCTCTGTTCCCCCCGAGCAGAGAAGGCGCTGTCCGTGGTGCTGAAGCCTTAATTGCATTTAAAGCTTGAGGCTAGTCGACTGCCCCCCTTCCCCCTGTCTGCTCACAGCGCTGATGGAGTTAGCTGGCTTTATGGGGGATAGGCTGCTTCAGCCCGATACACTCACTCTCCTAGTTTGCTTTTATCCGGCTCAAGTGTGTGATTGCTGATATTAATGACTCCTGCTGGGCTGTCCTTTTTTCTCACCCCTTTTTTCTCTCTCCTACCTCCCCCCCCCCTCCATCCCTTACAGGACAAAAGCACGTACTGTACGCTGCCAACCCCCCCCCCCCCCCCCCCCTATGCACACACCAACATACACATGAGACACTCTCTACTCAGTGAACTCTAAAAATACACTGGATAATGCTAATGAAGGATCCAGCAGAGTTTGTCTGTCTTCCACAAGCAAGCCTCGCTGCCATCTGTCTCCCTCACTGTGGTGCTTTGCTTTGTTATGCCCCCTTACCCACCTTCACACTTTATCACACACACACTCTCCACCCCCTTACTGTCTTGTTAAGTGTATGGATGTGTTTATGTTGGTGCATCTGTGACAGCCTCATGAAGCAGCATTTATTATTCAAAACTGCAAATGAGCAGCTATATATAGTGTGTTTATCATTGATACATTCAGTTGTGTTCGTGCGAGCACTGAGGCGCTGTGGCTCACGGGACTCGTCTTTTGACTTCTTTCTGGTTATCATATCACACTTTCAGTACTTAAAAAATCTGCACGTTAGTGTGGCAGCCAAGTGGCAAGTGTCATTTCTCCATCCTTGTAAAGCAAACTGATTTTGTGCACATTAAATAGGGTTGAATAATTGTGATAGTTTGCCTAAAACATTAGGACCTTATGTTCTATGTGTTATTTGTTGATATAGCAGATATTATTTATTGAATTCATTGTTAATTCATGGGAACTCCTCCGATCGTACACATCAAAGTCTGTTTAGAGATCTTGGGGAGTACTGCATATGTGAAAACAAAGTTGTATAAAGCCTTTCACGGCTCCAGAGGGAACTGTGTGAAGTCTCTTAAATCGCCTCAAGTGATGTCAACGGTCAAGTTGCACTGTGGGTAATGTTTTTACGAGAAAATAGAATGCATTGAATTATAAATACGACATCTCTGCTTCCGCTGCGTCAACCTTCTTTTGTAGTTCTCACAGTGTTAGCATAGTGCAAGGCTAAATCGATGGAGAATTCTCAGAGAGTTTTCAGGCCCGTGAGTATGTGTGGTGGGTCATTGTGCCATTAACATCTGTCAAAACAAAATAAATACTTTCTGTCTTGCTATGGAGAGCCTTTGGGGGATACATTATTACCTTGAAATGAAGACAGATCTAAAATGTATTGTGTCAGCCCTTGCGTGAAATGTTTCTATGGTCAGCCGTTTTACAAACAATTTTAATATCAGCCATCCAAACCTGAGTTGAAACTTTGCACACAGGGCTTTTTGAAAGGAAGCCAATCTGGCTATCAACTGTACCTGGGCTGTCTGCAAGGTAAATACAAACAGAAGCAGGGGGAGAGAAGTGGACTCATGTTGCAGCTCATCCTTTGTGTGCAGTCAGGCAGGATGAAGAGGGAGTGTTTTGCCAAAAAGTTGATGCATCTCGTTTTGGAAGGACAGACAGCAGTGGACTGAAAATGACTGTATCTGAGAACTGAGACTGTAGATTTGATTCTGCAAGAATATTTTCTCAGTAGCGTTTTTCTCGTTGCATCTTGTTTCCTCAATTTTCCAGTCACAGTTCTCTACATTTACCTCTGTCTTCTTTCTCTTTCAGATCCAGAGATGGCATGCCTATTGTTTGTGGTGATTCTCTATGCTCTTCCATCTTTCGTTGTGCCCATACATAATTCATCAACTGGAGGTAATTTGTGTGTTTATGACTGAATATGTGCTGGAATCTATGTGTGGTTGGTTATAATAAGCCTTAATGGACATAAGTAACTCTGCAGAGATTGCTGAGTGACCTGAATGAAGCACTGTAATTTGTGCAGCGAGGAAAGCATCAGTTAAATTGACAATATGTCATGTTGCTGTAATCTACATCATCTGCAGACAAAGCTTTTCCCCTCTGCTCTTTTCGTCCTTCATTCTTCTTCCTCTGCTCTTTTTTCATTCAGGCTGTGCTATCATCCGGCCTCCCAGAGACGGGGGGATCCGCTACAGAGGCCTGACACAGGAACAGGTACAGAAAATACAGCTCTGGGTCTGAATGACACAACTTTACCAGTCAAATCAAGGACGTTAAACCAGTTTACTGGACAATTTTCAATATAATAAAACACAAAAGTGGAAATATAAAGCAGTTGAAACTGTATCTGCTTCCTGTAATGTAATTTATTTCCATATTAAAACCATTATGATAGCCTTAGGAAATAGAGGGTGGATAATGTGTGGGTTACACTTGTTGAAATACTCCTGGCAGCAATGAATACGTCAAATGCTCTGACAAAAACCCAAACAACCAAAAACTATATTTTTGGACTATTGCATGACCCTAATGAGTCCTTCCAATCATTGTTTGCTGTCAAAATGAAATGATTGGATGAACTGCCTGTCTGTCAACTACAGTACCTGTCTGCATAGTACACACTGCTCGTGCACTCAATGCGCGTCACCGGAGCTGCTAGCTTGACAGCTGTAAATGCTAACCATAGCCATGTTTGTTGTTTACATATAAATAGGTTTACATTCATGTTGATAATTCTTTAGGTGTAATTTTGGAGGGAGAAAATGGCGGCCAGTTCTGGCAATTTAGCGACTTTCTCTGTACAATTAGCTACTTTTGGGGCTAATGCTGTTTGCTACCCTCATGTGAAAACGGTTGTAAAGTAAACATTAGGTTGCGTTCCTCAGGTGGATGATTTTACAAATCTCGCTAACCCTTGCTAGCTTGCAAAAATGTTACCTAGATAAGCTTTGATACAAAAGTGCTGGGGATTATTAGGCTACTCCAATTGACGAGGGTTAGGCCAACTTTAGCTAATGATACAACACGGTCTCACACCGCGGTGAATTTAGTTTTAAGTTGGATATTCGACGGACATTCGCGGACCCGCCAGCAGCGTCAGTTTCCCCTGCTGCTGGCTGTATTACGACGGGGAGATCTTCTCCGCGAAACGAGGCTTTCACTTAGGGACCATCAACAAATGACTTTTCAATTACACAATAACATTTTTCTTTTTAATAAATCGACAGCCTCCCGATCGAGTGAATGTGAAGCGAATCCACGCTAGAGCATGCATTTGTTGAACACACCTCTTTTTATTGCATTGTAATACTTTAAATACGTCTTATTATTATTTTTGATGGAAAAATTAGCTTATTTCTTCAATACCTTCCAGGTCATGTGACCTAATCACTCAAAAATCAATGTTGGGTCAAAGAACTACACCGGCTGCATAGGACACACCTCTTTTTATTGCATTTTAATACTTTAAATATTTTATATTATTAATTTGATGGAAAAATGAGCTTATTTCTTCAATACCTTCCAGGTCATGTGACCGATTCACTCAAAATCAATGTTGGGTCAAAGAACTACACTGGCTGCATAGGACACACCTCTTTTTATTGCATTTTAATACTTTAAATATTTTATATTATTAATTTGATAGAAACATTTGCTTATTTATTCAATACCTTCCAGGTCATGTGACCGATTCACTCAAAATCAATGTTGGGTCAAATAACTACACTGGCTGCATAGGACACACCTCTTTTTATTGCATTTTAATACTTTAAATATTTTTATATTATTAATTTGATGGAAAAATTAGCTTATTTCTTCAATACTTTCCAGGTCATGTGACCTAATCACTCAAAAATAAATGCTTAGTCAAAGAACTACACTGACAGAATAGGACATACCTCTTTTTTTTTATCGCATTTGAACATTCTAAATATTTTATATTAATATTTTGGTGGAAAAATTTGCTTATTTCTTCAATACCTTCCAGGTCATGTGACCGATTCACTCAAAATCAATGTTGGGTCAAAGAACTACAATGGCTGCATAGGACACACCTCTTTTTATTGCATTTTAATACTTTAAATATTTTATATTATTAATTTGATGGAAAAATGAGCTTATTTCTTCAATACCTTCCAGGTCATGTGACCTAATCAGTCAAAATCAATGCTGAGTCAAAGAACTACACTGGCTGCATAGGACACACCTCTTTTTATTGCATTTTAATACTTTAAATATTTTATATTAATATTTTGATGAAAAAATTAGCTTATTTCTTCAATACCTTCCAGGTCATGTGACCGATTCACTCAAAATCAATGTTGGGTTAGGGTTAGGGTTAGGAAAATACACAAGAAGAGGAACAATTTCCAAAGCCTTAACCAGTGGTGTCAGCAATTATTATTACACTATGTTAAGACAGACATCAGAGGAAATAATGGCTGGTAACATAAGCAGAAGCCTCACCAAAGACGTGTTAAAGAAAATATCCTCTGAAGTGAAGAAAAGTGCAAGGCTCCACGATGACATGATGCTTGAACTCATGTTGACTCAAAAAATAATCAAAGAGAGCAGCAGTCATGCATCATCAAAAGGCTATCTTCAGCACCTACAAATTGATCCGTTTGCTGTACATTTATACACAGATGTTGGAATAAAGATATTGACTGAGCACTTGAAAAAGCCAACACCTACGACTCTCTACCTTGATGCCACAGGCAGCGTGATACAGACAATTCCTGATCAAAATAAGCGGGTCTTGTATTATGCTTTGGTTTTGCCCGGAATGGGTAAGGATAAGCCTCCCTTGCCTGTCACAGAACTGATCACCAACAGCCATTCCATTCCATCTATTTCCCATTGGCTCATGGAATTTAAAAGAAAGTTGTCTTACACAACAAAAAGAAAGATAGCACAGGTTGAGACAGATTATAGTTGGGCTCTGATAAACAGTGTGCTTCAGTCTTTTAACAGGGAAAAATATGTCAGTGTACCTTGACAGAGCATTTGAGATAGTGTCTGGACAAACTGAACTGATTCCTAACTTCACTGTGTTGCATCTGTGCTCTGCTCATATCATGAAGGCTGTGTCACAAGCATTTGGGAAAAAAACTGTAGACAGAGGCACACAGGAATATGCAACATTCTGTTTTGCGTACATCCTGAACTGCACAAGTATGCAGGAAGCCCTTGATGTTTTTTATCATATGTGTGTGCTTTTTGATGCAGAGGAGTACACTCATTCGGTGAAACAGAGCTAAATGTACCTCGACGAGTGCATTTTGCAAACTCTGGACTTGAAACTGGAGGAAAGTGGACATGTAATGGGAGAGGAGGAAAGCAAAATGGAAACAAATGCTCATAGCATTATTGGAAAGTCCCCTTTTACACAAGCTTTTCAAGTCAGGCGGGACCAAGCAGTGTGACATTCTCTCTGACGATGCTGTTCATGTAAAAAAACACTACCTCTGTCCTGGTGTCATTGATGCACTGTTAAAAAACTACATGGGGATCTTCCCATTGTGGAGTGGTTTGTTGCTTGGGGATCTGTCGCGACATAGAAAAGGTACCTCTAAAAAAGATGGAAGTCATAAAACCAGGGATACCAACTGCCATGTTGAGCTCTGGTTTGGGTTGGTCAAACACTCCATCCTTTTAAAAAAAAAAGTACCTGAGACCAGCTGAGTTCGTCTCCAAAATGTATGCCTCAATACAAGGAAGATATATAGAGCACATTGAGCAACACAATCTGCCAATGCATATTCTGGACAAAAACTTTGGACATCCTAGCAGGCCAGATGATGACCACGAGGAACAGTGGAACAAGCGGGAAAGTTCTGCTGGTCACACCAAGTCCAAGTCCATGCTTCAATCCACCAAAAACACTACACAACCCCAAGAGCCCACCTGCCACAAAGGTGAAGAAAAGAAAAGTGGACCAACAGGAAAAAGACACACAGGGAAATGTGAGTTTCTCTAAGACTTACTATGTGCAAAGTGTGTAAATTGTTCTCCAGCATTTTAATTGTAACAATGGAATAAGTAAATATTGTCAGAAAGTAAAGCATGGACTAAATTGGTAAAGAATGAGGTGAAGGACAAAGGACATGAAGTATTATAACCCAAGATGATTAGGTGCATGTTGTAGGGGGAGAATATGAAGATGAAAAATGTAAATACAGCTTACAAACTTAGAACAGAAACTATATTTCCAAATCAGACTTTAAACTGCAATTACAGTTTCTGTTCCTGAGCAGCCTGTTTAATGTTATTTAGTGAAAACTCTAAAACGGACTGAGGTTACTGACTGAGTGTTAAAATGCAATAAAAAGAGGTGTGTCCTATGCAGCCAGTGTAGTTCTTTGACCCAACATTGATTTTGAGTGAATCGGTCACATGACCTGGAAGGTATTGAAGAAATAAGCTCATTTTCGATCAACATATTAATATAAAAATATTTAGAATGTTCAAATGCGATAAAAAGAGGTGTGTCCTATTCAGCCAGTGTAGTTCTTTGACTCAGCATTGATTTTGAGTGATTAGGTCACATGACCTGGAAGGTATTGAAGAAATAAGCTCATTTTCCCATCAAATTAATAATATAAAATATTTAAAGTATTAAAATGCGATAAAAAGAGGTGTGTCCTATTCAGCCAGTGTAGTTCTTTGACTCAGCATTGATTTTGAGTGATTAGGTCACATGACCTGGAAGGTATTGAAGAAATAAGCTCATTTTCCCATCAAATTAATAATATAAAATATTTAAAGTATTAAAATGCAATAAAAAGAGGTGTGTCCTATGCAGCCAGTGTAGTTATTTGACCCAACATTGATTTTGAGTGAATCGGTCACATGACCTGGAAGGTATTGAAGAAATAAGCTCATTTTTCCATCAAATTATTAATATAAAAATATTTAAAGTATTAAAATGCAATAAAAAGAGGTGTGTCCTATGCAGCCGGTGTAGTTCTTTGACCCAACATTGATTTTGAGTGAATCGGTCACATGACCTGGAAGGTATTGAAGAAATAAGCTAATTTTTCCATTAAAATATTAATATCAAAATATTTAGAATGTTCGAATGCGATAAAAAGAGGTGTGTCCTATTCAGTCAGTGTAGTTCTTTGACCCAGCATTTATTTTTGAGTGATTAGGTCACATGACCTGGAAGATATTGAAGAAATAATCTCATTTTTCAATCAAAATATTAATATAAAAATATTTGGAGTGTTAAAATACAATAAAAAGAGGTGTGTCACAGTGTAGTTCTTTGACCCAGCATTGATTTTGAGTCATTAGGTCCCATGACCTGGAAGGTATTGAAGAAATAAGCAAATGTTTCCATCAAAAATATTAATAAAACGTATTTAAAGTATTAAAATGCAATAAAAAGAGGTGTGTTCAATAAATGTATGCTCTAGAGTGAATTTGCTTCACATTCACACGATCGAGAAGCCGTCGATTTATTAAAAAGAACATTTTTCTTGTCTAA